CGGGTGCGGTTAGAGCTGAGCGGATGGACAGAGTAGGCACTGTGCCCACAGACTGGCAGGCCTGCTCGGGTGCGGTTAGAGCTGAGCGGATGGACAGAGTAGGCACTGTGCCCACAGACTGGCAGGCCTGCTCGGGTGCGGTTCGAGCTGGGTGGATGGACAGAGGAGGCACTGTGCCCACAGACTGGCAGGCCTGCTTGGGTGGGGTTAGAGCTGGGTGGTGTAACTGTGCTTCAGCCATCCATGTATGTTCCAGGTGAATGCTCTGGGGTTCAGGAGCCTCCCTGTGTCATTGTGGGGTTTCCTCTGGGTTCTCTGGTTTCCCCCCACAGTCCAAAAACATACTAAGGTTAACTGGAGTTGCCAGATTCCCCACCGGCATGAATGGTGTATCTGTCCTGCGATGGATTGGTGCCCCATCCTGGGTTATTCACATACAGTTTCTATCAAACCATCAGGTCCTGAATCCGGACCCAAGGTGATAAGTATGAATTAATGTCACTGTGATGTTCGTCTTAACTGTGGTCAGTCCGTCTAAATATAGACATGACAACTTGTTTCAATTAATTTGCACAAGGCTGTATATTTATTGGGGGATGAATGAAGTCCCTTGTCCCCCCAGTTCCTGCACCCCTGAGTGATTGTACCTCTCTGACTTCATAATCAGTGCTATTATAACCACATGTATCTGCTCAGACTCTATTAATATGTCTCCCTAACCCTCCCCCATTCATATATTGTCCCCATAGGGGTTAAGGATGTGAGGACTGTGAGCTGGGTCTCTGCAGAGAGAGGAGGATCTGTCACCATCCCATGTTACTATCATGAACATCATCAATCTGAAGTGAAATCCTGGTGTAGAGGAGATGTATGCGGCTCCAGATTAGCACAGTGTGACCGGGGACAGAGTGGAGGGACTGTGTCAATTACTGATGACCGTCACCAAAGTGTATTTCATGTGACCATGAGGAACCTGCAGGAGGAGGATTCTGGCTCTTACTCATGTTGTGTGGGTGGCAGTTTCAAAGCCTCTCTGGCCCTGATAGTCCGGGAAGGTAAGATGTTGTTAATATACAGTGAGGACCTGACAGTCACGGATTGAATGTGTATCAGAAAAGTTTTCCCACTAAAGATTTTCATTGGCGTCTTTCATTCAGTTAATACAGTCAGTGTCTGCAACGCCTCCTTTGTATTGATAGGAGCTTCCTTTGTATATATATCAATGTAAAAAGCAGCTGAGGTCTGGTGGTACAAAAGCAGACTGTAGTGAATCAGACGCTGGCTGTTTAACCTGCATCCCTGCACTGTGTGTCTGTTTGTGTATTTACATTTAGTGCTGGTGCCACATTCTCAGTCTTCATTTATATTGAACTAATCCAGTG